TCAGATGATGATGCAGAAGCCAAAGGGCACCAAAAATTGCTGGCAAAACATCAGAAGCTGAGAGAGAGGCTTGGAACAGTTCTCCCTCATAGCTGGCAGTAGGAACCAACTATGCAGATACACTGACTTTGGATTTCTGGCCTCCAGAACTGTGAGGCAAACAGTTCTGTTAAGTCACCCAGTTTGTGGTACTTTCTTATGGCAGCTCTAGCAAACTAACAATTAGTTTTCCACAAGACAAGTACATTAGCAAGAAACTTTCAAAGAATAAAATCCAAGTATAAAAAAGTACATATTCATGCAGAACTGAACTAAATGGTAAAGAGGTTAATTAACACAAGTATTCCCTGAGAGAAAGAGAAGATAAAAGTCTCCTGAAATCAAGAGAAATCAATGGTCTAAAATAGAATACTTTAAGTAAATTCACTGAATGATAGGCAAAAAATGTTCCTAGTCCTTGGTAAATAAGACACACTTATATCACTTATAGTGTAGGGGGTGCCACTTGACTAGTTTATAAGCAAACAATGATTCTGAGAGATTTAAAAATGTAAGAGCCCAAAAAGTACTTATAATTTACACTCTGGATTCCAGAGGGACTCTATTTTTAACAAAACTATCACTTATTTAACCTTACAATGAGAACATAAAGAGAATATCTAATAAAATATGCACATTCTCCTTAAGATGGGTTAAAAAAAAGTCTGATAGTCTGTAACCCTTTGCTACTCAGTTTTAATATTACCTGGAGCTTGTTAGAAACTAATCAGAACCAGCAGTTTAACAAAAGTCAAGATGATTAAAATACATATTTTAAATTTTAAGGAGCTGGGATATAATCCATATGAATTTGCAGCATATTAACCACATTAGTACTAACACCTGCCAAAGATGCTACGTTGTAGTTTTTTCAACACTAGCAGAGTGGAAAACAACCTTGTTCTGCACTATAAGATATCCAGATAATTGTTTACTTAGAGCATTTCTGGTATTTTAATTTGTTATAAACAAATGTTAGAGCATTACTACCCCATGAGAAAGACTGAGATTTTAACTTATAGCCCCTTTCAATCCTGATTAGAAAATGAAAAAAACCATAATGCCTCAGAACCTTATCAAAATCCACAGGTAAGGAAAACATTAAGCTGGTTTGATAACCAGTTTCTAAATAATCTTCCCTTTATTTGCCATATAGCATCAACAATATTAATAACTTTTTTTTAAAGCACTAGCCAGGTTAAGAGTCAAATTGAAAACAGTTTTTGAGACCTCATTCACAGAATTTTCTTTTCACTCCTTTGTACAGAATTCCCCACTCAGCATGTTCTCCTGAAGACATCTGGTGAACCACTGCTCTACATATACATCTTTCTGCTAAGTCTGGCCCAGCGTTAAAAATAAAAGAAAACAAAGAGGCACCAAACCAACAGGAAAATCCACCCCATCAGTTAGTGTGACTACATTTGTTCACTTAAAAACAAGTTTAAAAAACATTTGGTGCTCAACACACTAAAAAAAGCTCACATTTACATGTCTGCTTGTTCCTCTACACTGCTATCACAAGGACATTGTAACAGCAGCACTAGCTTTGAAAATATCACAATAGTTGGCAGAGAGCCATTTTCAAGAGTGATGGACAAGTTAGGATTTTACTTTTTGAGTTATGATTTTAAAAAGATAGTTAAACCAGGTACAGAGGGTAGCTCAAGAGTTGGGATTCTCACAAAAAAATGAGGAAATAAGGGGGAGAAGAGCTAGGGAGCAGAACAGGTGGAAAAAGTTTATTAAATGACTACACATAGACTTGTAAAAGACCCTTTGTCCATTCAATAAATATTTACTGAGCATCTATGTGCTAGGCACTAAAAGCTATGGAGGAGTTATAATGGCTTTGCCTCTGCCTCCATTCTTCAACCTCACGGGGAATATAGGCAAGCTAGCAAGTGATTAGCAGTGTCTTTGGAAAGACCCTGAGCCAGGGCAGCAAATACATACTGACCTATGTCAGACTTTAGAATACCAAGGAGACACCTGCTGGAGGAGCAGCGTTGCCCGGGGGAAAGCACAAGAGGGTTCCAAACAGAGGGAGGTGAAAAGATGATAAAAGAACTAAAAGGCCAGCTTGGTTGGGAGTAGAGGGGGAAATAGCAAGAGATAAAACCAATAAGGTAGTACACTCTCAACATGTTAACCAAGTGGAGGAGTTTGGACTTTATCCTACAAGCTTTGAGGACCCATTGAAGAGCTCATATAATCAAACAGCAGATTTCATTTTAGAAAGAACACTGTGGGTACAGCAGAGACAATAAAATAGAAGGGGTTGAAACTGAAGACAGAAATAGATCAGGAGGCTGCTGGCAATGATGCAATGAGAGGTGATGGTAGCTGGATCTAGGATCTTGCAGTAGAAGTGGAATAAAATGGGAAAGTGTAAGAGCCATACAGCAGTAGAATTAGAGAATTTGTTAATTAACTAGATATGGAAATTGAGGGAAATTTGTAGTCTGCACAACTGGGTGGGCAGTGTTTCTATTCACTAAGCCAGAGAAGGGAGCAGAGTGGCTTGGGGGTTGGGGACACACTGAGGTTTAGGTTCCTCTGAGACATCTAGGTGGCTGTCTAGGAGATAGTTGGATATACAGTCAGAAACTAAAGACACAGTATCTCTAGGCAGAGGCAAGTCCAGAAAGGAATAAGGAGACAGAAGTAGGTGGCGTCAGTGAAAGAAGACTAGAAGACAGCAGAGCCAAGTGAAGTGAAGAGAGTGTGCCTAGAAGAAAAGGATGGTCCACATGCTAAGTGCTCTGATAGCCTCAAAGACTCCTGAACGAAGCATTCAGAGGCAGCTTGGTGGCTGAAAGGCAGTTTCAGTGAAAAGGCAGGAAGACAGCAGATTTCAGTTAGCCTCACAGTGTGAGGTGAGAAAGAACAAATGTGGCCAAGTCTCCCAAGTTTGCCTAACTAGGGGCAGGCAGAGCTGGAAGGAGAAAAGAAAAACAGAAATGTTAACAAAAATTTTGAAAAATGACTGAAAAACTGGTGCCAAATTAAGAAAGGCATGCCTTTGTATTCATATATACATCCATTATAACATGTAAGTTTACTCTACTGTTTTCCAATATTTTTGTTCCCTACCGCCTAAGAAATGCTTGGTACTTAACAGACTTTCAATGATTTTTCAAAGAATATGACTAGGGCAGAATTAGCTCTCTCAAGTTACCTGTACTTGGCTTTCCCAGTGGACTATATAAATAGACTGAGGGTTAACATGTTTTTCCCCTGACTTTTTAGTTTTCCATAGTGTAGGACTGAATCCCTGGTAGGTGCTGGATGCATGTAAGTTGAGAGGAGCAAACCCTACTACAGATATCAATTGTGTATCAATTAGGAAGATGCTACACTTGCAATATGGACAGGTGAACTTGATAGAGAACATCAGGATAAAAATATTCTAACAATTCTTTCCTCCAATCACAAGACAAAAAAAGGAAACAGATATTATCAAGAACACTGTGGTATATATTTAAAGCTACTCTAAAAAAACATAAAAGCAGGAAACTAATATTTCCATAGCATGCTAACCTAGCTAGCTGCCTCTACATTTTGGCAGCAATAAAAGATTTTATTAAAGAACTTTAATGAAATATGGATAATTAAATATAACCTAATATCTTACTATGCTTAATTAGATGGGTTTGTATAGCATTTCTTTTCCTTTTTCCCAGCAGTTCTAATTTGAATTTCTAAAAACATTACAGCTAATAGACGTTAAAAACAGATCCCTAAACATGACAAACCAATTTTCTAAATTTCAATTTGATTCAAGTTGCCTGAACATATAGTTCAAAGAAAACCATCATTAGGAACACACAAGTATATTAGTGAGTAAAAGACATAGGCTCAAACAACATCTGCATTTTCGTGACTCTCCTCAACAATAAGCTACTCCTGCTACTACTCCCAGCACACTTCCTTCTACACCTGTTCATCTGTCCCCCAAAACAAGGTGACATCTTGGGTCTGTTGTATAGCTTCAGCCTAAACACTAATCCTCAGAGAGAGAGCTCAGTACGAGCAGCAAAGCTAATGCCACTTTGGGTCATAACCCGACAACAAGAAAGAAAATTGAGCTGATGGTATACGTTTTAGATGAGGTCCCAGAAAATCTTTGAATAATTTCATTCTTTAAAGGAAAATTAAAAAAAAAAAAACCAGAGGCTTTATTAGGAAACATGTTCTATGTGAAATTCCTTATAGAGTTTTAATTATTTAAGGTTTAGCAATTCAAGTTCAAGTAGAAATGACATAAATCCCAGCAGGACATTTCATCATTTAAAAAACAAACAAAATAGCCGAAACCGGTTTGGCTCAGTGGATAGAGCGTCGGCCTGCGGACTGAAAGGTCCCAGGTTCGATTCCGGTCAAGGGCATGTACCTGGGTTGCGGGCACACCCCCAGTAGGAGATGTGCAGGAGGCAGCTAATCGATGTTTCTCTCTCATCGATGTTTCTGACTCTCTGTCTCTCTCCCTTCCTCTCTGTGAAAAATCAATAAAATATATTTTAAAAAAAACACACAAAAAAAACAAACAAAATAACTCAAAACAAACGCAACCTGCTTGCTGGAAAGTATAGCAAGCAGGTTTTGAGTTTTTGTAAATATTAAGATGACTAAACACTGACCTAAGAGATCCTAACACAAAGCCTATGGTTTCTCTCAGACTAATATATAAACCAGTCTTCTCTAAAAATGCAAAAGAAAAAACTTAAAAACGGAAAAGACCCCTTGGAGAGTGAAAGCCAAGATCAGTGTGGCTGAAATCAAGACTTAAGAAAAAACCAAAAACCTGTAACTATTTTATAAATAAGATTTCTTTTCTCAAATACCTACAACACAAAGACTTTTCTATTTTGCTAATAATTAGGTCGTTATCATTAACTATAATCCAGAATTACCTAATTTATTCACAGAAGAGCTAAGGGAGAAAGAGAGGAACAGTCCTACCTCCCACCAGTCTTAAAGATTAGATCCGCATTAGGCGCTCCCTTTGGATGTTGGTAACGGGGCCTCCGCTCACGATTGGTGTTTGCTGGAGCTGGGCGCTGGGCAAGAGACTGCAGCATTTCTGTCATGAGGAGCAAAACAGAAAAGGTGGTGAACTCTGGTAAATGTTCTCCCCCATGAAGCATATAAAACCCTAGGGAGATCAAGTTCAGTCAGGTTGCTGACTAAAGAAAAATGACCATTAAACAGATTAAAATGATTAAATACCGAAAGATCGTATCAAGAAATGAGATGCACTCTTTAAAACCCAATGTCTCCCTTACTGTCAATTTGGCCTCTATGTAAGTATCTTGTAAGGCAGTAAAACAGTATGAGATGCAGTATACAATAATTACAAGCACAGTGTTTGGAACAGGATAGTATTGGTTCAAATCCCAGCGCTGCTACTAATTACTTGTGAACTTTGGGTTGAGTTTCCCTAAATGTAAAATGTGAATAATAATCATTTATAGAATTGCGAGGATTAAATTCTTTGAAAAAGTACATAAAACAGTGTCTGGCCCATAGTTATACTGAGTATTAGCTATTATTATTTACTAGAGGCCCAGTGGGGTCCCTCGGCCTGGCCTGTGGGGATTGGGCTCTCCAACATCCCCTGAGGAGTCCCGGATTGTGAAAGGGCCCAGGGCAGGCCAAGGGACCCCACCAGTGCACAAATCGGTGCACCGGGCCTCCGACATCCCCCGATGGGTCCAGGGTACGGGTGAAGCAGATTTGGGGCCAACAGTGCCCCAACAGCAACCTAACCCACGGCCAATTCCGCAAGGAATCAGGCTCCCTCTTCTACTGGTCCGAGCGTCTGTTCCCTGGTGGTCATTGTGCATCATAGCTACTGGAAAACTGGCCAAACGGTTGGATGGTTGCTTAGGCTTTTATATAGATAGACTAGTGGCCCAGTGCACGAAATTCATGCACATTAAAAGGAAATTAATTAGAGGAAATATTTTTAATATTGCTACTTGTCCTTCCTCTATAATAGAAGTGTCAGAGATGAAAGAAAATTAGTAAAATGTATATGAAAATCTTCCTCCTGTCACAGTCAGGTGTGCGCTGCAGGACCCAGAGTCAAGTCCCCACCCACCTGCATGGACCTTGAAATTGCACGAGACCCAGACCCATCCGGCCCCACCCCCGTCAAGCCCCGCAGCAGGGCGCAGCCTCAAATCCCACGGCCCCAGCTCAAGGACCATTTGCATATTAGCTCTTTACTATATAGGATTATTAAGAATGCTGCCTATGCAGACAATAGGGGGGTAAAGGTCTGGGGTGGGGGGTGGGCATGGGTGGGAGGGGCCAATGGGGGAAAAGGGGAACACATGCAATACTTTCAACAATAAAAAATTATATTATTTTAAAAAAGAATGCTGTCGACTGCAAGAGGAGATGCTAGATGTGGGATTTAAAGACAGAAAACTGAGTATTTATTTACACAACAATTTCTTGCACAAAAAAGCATGTTGTCAGCCTGGCCAGTGTGGGTTAGTGGTTGAGCATCAACCTATGAACCAAGAAGGAGGGCGCAGTTCGATTCAGGTTAGGGCATATGCCTGGGTTGTGGGTTCAATCACCAGTAGGGGGCATGCAGGAGGCAGCCAATCAATGATTCTCTCTCATCATTGATGTTTGTATCTCTCTCCCCGTTTCCCTTCCTCTCTGAAATCAATAGAAAAAAAATATTTTTTTAAAAGCAGTTCGTCAGTACAATCCTATCTAATAATAGAGAAACATGGTAATTAACTGTAACTTCGCTACCCTTCCCATTGGCTAATCAGAGCGATATGCAAATTAACTGCCAACCAAGGTGGCGGCCAGCAGCCAGGCAGCTGAAGCGAACAGGAGGCTTGCTTGCTCCAGTGATGGAGGAAGCCAACGTTCCACGCCTGCCGCTGCCGGCCTCTAAGCTACAGTCTAAAAAACAATGTTGCAATTATAGAAGCTAAACAAGCTCCAGATACCTGCTTTCAGCCAGCTTCGACCTCAGAGCTTAGAGCGGCAGTGATAACAATGTTTCAATTATAGAAGCTAAACAAACCCAGATACCTGCTTTCAGTCAGCCGCAGACTCAGAGCTGGAGCCAGGCCTCAGAGCTGGAACCGGCTCTCGCTCCAGTGACAGCTACAGAAGGTAAATAAATCCCAGAATAAAAAAAAAACAAAAATAGAAAAAAAGGAGAGGCTGGGAGCTTCAGTTGCCCACCAGCCTGAAAACGGCCCTCAGCCTCTCATCCAGGCTGGCCAGGCACCCAAGCAGGACCCTCACCCTGATCCGGTACACCCTTCAGGGCAAACCAACCTGCCCCCACCCGTGCACCAGGCCTCTATCCTTTATAGTAAAAGGGTAATATGGAAACTGACCCTAACAGCAGAACGACTGGGAATGACTGGTCACTATGACACACACTGACCACCAGGGGCCAGACGCTCAATGCAGGAGCTGCCCTCTGGTGGTCAGGGCGCTCTCACATGGGAGGAGCCCTGCTCAGCCACAAGCCAGGCTGATGGCTACCAGTACAGTGGTGGTGGTGGGAGCCTCTCCTGCTTCCTCAGCAGCACTAAGAATGTCTGACTGCAGCTTAGGCTTGCACCCCGCTGGCAAATGGACATCCCCCGAGGGCTGCCGGGCTGCCAGAGGGATGTCTGGTTGCCATCTTAGGCCCAATCCCCCGGGGAGCAGGCCTAAGCCAGCAGGTGGTCATCCCCTGAGGGGTCCCAGACTGTGAGAGGGCACAGGCCGGGCTGAGGGACCTCCCCCGCACCCCCAGAGTGCACAAATTTTTGTGCACTGGACCTCTAGTATTATATAAACAACTAGAGGCCTGGTACACAAATTCGTGCGCGGGTGCAGTCCCTCGGCCTGGCCAGAGATTGGGGCCAATCAGGGCGGCGAAAGGTTGGCCAGAGGCAGGCGCCGCAGGAGGTTGGCTGTGGGAGCACACTGACCACCAGGGGGCAGCGCCTGTGTTAAACATCTGACCCCTGGTGGTCAGTACACATCATAGCGACCAGTTGTTTGGTCACTTAGGCTTTTATATATATAGACCATATTATGGCTCTAGAATCTGGGTGCCACAGAGATGCCAAAAAGCTGGCTTATGAGGTATCCATGGATTCTTTGCATAAGGTTCCAGTTAATCCAAGAATGTGAACTATGACTATATAAAAGTAGAGTCTAATTTGAGCATACCATCAAATCAGAAGGAACAAGGGTTCCTCAAGACCAGGATTCCCAAATAGGCAAAAAAAGATAATAAATATTTGTTGAGTTAATTTGCTCACAGTTTGGCTGACAACATGATTAAAAGTTTATTATCTCATTTGCAAACATAGCTCTAATGGTATGGAATCTAAATGAATTATGGAATTAGCAAATTATGATGACAATTATTTTTATTTTACAAATAGGTGAGAAAAAAATGAAGATAGAATGGACTACAAAAAACATTCAACTTCTCAGACTATATATATATATATACACAGTATGAAAAGGTCAACATATCTTTTATATTCTATATTTTAAAAGCCCTAAAGGAATCAAATTTTTATATTTCTGTCCTATAAATGGTTTTATACCTTGATAATCTTCTTGTTCTTGTCGTTCATTGATATCTAGTGTGAGCTTTTTCATTCTCATCCTTTCTTCTTGTTCTGCCTGTTGCTGGTTCCAGTGATTTGCAGCAAGTTGGGAAGACATGGGTACATTAAGGATCTTAAACTGAGGAGGGGAAAAAAGGAAATCACAAATGACTTGAGAAAATCAAGAGGGGAAAAAAAAGATTTCAAATAAAATAGCAAGTAGAATTAAATGAGTTTAGAAAAATAATAATGTCTTTCCTTTCCTGTAAGTCAGTAAAGACAGTAAAATCTAGTAACATATACAGAAAATAGTACTACTTTATTAAAGACAATCCTATTAGATTTGGATGGGAAGTGGAGGCCATCAAGTTCAACCTGCATGAAAAGCAGAAGCTCCTCTTCCCTGCACCCTGTTTGGCAGCACACACCTAGCAATGAGAACATTTCCATTTTGTAGACCTTCTCATATGATTGTCAGAAAGGTTTTAATGTAGCAAACTGTAATCTCATCCTTTTCATTTCTATCCTCTGGAACCAGTTTTGCCCTTCTGAACCATACTGAACAAATCTAGCCCACCTTCAGTATTCACAGACCTTCATAGTTCTCAAGATAGCTGTGATGTTGGAAAGAAGGAAGAGTTAAGGAACTGACATACAAGATCTATTTCTGTTATGGAAGAGAGTCCTTATCTATGGAATGTTTTTGTTTTTAGCAGGATGTCCTTGGTTTATAATTGTGCAAGGTAAACAAAATAAGATAAAACCTATGCAACTATCTGAGTAATAAATGGAGATGTTTTGTAACCTAAATTCTCTCTGCTGTGTATAATTTGCACCCCTCACTTAAAGAGACCTCCTCTAACACTCTGAACCAAAGGCATGTCTGATGCAGAAAGGAAGGACATGGGAGAGCTGTGCTCAGAATCCCCAACTTCTGCCTGATTGACCTATGCCGTTTAAATGCCTGCATCCTTAAAATTATTAGTAAAACTTAAAACTGCACAAGAACGCTAATTCATTTGAATCTGAGTTGACAATTTGATTCTCTGTATTATCTCAGATGTCCTTTCTTGGTATTTATTCTCTTTTATGATGTACATAGTCAATGTTTCTCTTAAAATGTTAATACCCAGAACACTAAGGCCAGATACAATGAAGTGAAAAATATTAAGTGTGGTTGTGAAACAATCTACAAACTCAACTAACAACATTTTGTATTTATCACAATATAGATAATTAAATATCCCACATATTGAAACAAAAATATATTTAAGGTAGTCCATTTAGCTACTAGCATAAACCGCATCCCTCTCCCCAATGAACTGTTTGATATAACGAATTCTTTGCAACTATTACTCTCTATTATGAGCTCAAACCATCTTTAAAAAAAAACTTTAGTGAGGTATACTTAACATACAGTAAACTGTACATATTTTAAATGTACACTTTGATGAGTTTTGAAATACACATACACATGAGATAATGAGCATATTCATCACTTTTAAATGTTCCTCTTGTCCCTCTTTGTAACCCACCTCCTTCCTCTATCCTACCCCCAGGTAACTGCTGACCTGCTGTCATTATTGATTAGTTTGCACTTTCTAAAATTTTATATACATTAAACTATACAATCCATATTCTTTTATCCAGCTTTTTTCTTCTTTTTTTGTTAAGCCTCACCTGAGGATATTTTTTCCATTGCTTTTCAGAGAGAGTGGAAGGGAGGGAAGGAAGGGAAGATGGGGGGGGGGAGGAGAGAAGAGAGAGAGGACAGAGAGGAGAGAGGGAGAGAGGGAGAGAGGGAGGGAAGGAGGGTGGGAGGGAGGGAGGGAGACAACTGATTGTCTCCTGTATGAGCCCTGACCAGGGCAAGGTGCGCACCCACAACCCAGGTACGTGCCCTTGACTGGGAATTGAATCTGAGGTGCTTCAGTGCACACACCAACTCTCTAACCACTAAACAACGCTGGCCAGGGCTATCCAGCTTCTTTACTTAGCACAATGGCTCTGAAATGCAACTACCGTATTTGCCGGCGTATAAGACGATTTTTTGGCCCTGAAAAATATGCCTCCAAGTGGGGGGTCGTCTTATACGCCAGGTACACTTCAGATAGACTGCCCATAGTGCTTGCCCCGTGCCATAGTGGCCTCCTGATGCCCGCCCACTTCATTCCACATACCGTTCAGGCATCAGCAGCGCTGCTGGGTGTATGCTCGGCTGTTATGCGATTTTGCTGTTATGCGATTTTACCACACTCGCAAAATCGCACACAGCCGACCATACACCCAGTATGATAGCGCAAAATCACGAATCGCGATACCATACTGGGTGTATGGTTGGCTGTGTGCGATTTTGCGAGTGTGGTAAATTCGGGTTACCGTATATTTCTTTACATATGCATTGAATTTTAAAGAAGGC